TCTCTCTCTCTCTCTCTCTCTCTGTCTCTCTCTCTTTCTGTCTCATTCTTTCTGTGTCTTTGGTATTCATGCCTCATTTCCCTCTCTTTATTCTCCTCACCGGACTTTTCTCCTTTTTTTATTTCTCCTTCATCCTTCCCCCAACCCTTTCCTTACTCTCTTTCACTTTATATCTCATGTTTATTTGAGTGACTCTAAATCTTTCCTTTGTTTTTTTTCATAACATAGTAACTGGGCTGGCCACGTCTCAAGTATCATAAATTAATTTGATTATTTTTGCCATTTGCTCATCTAAATAAAGACAGTAAAGACAGCGAAATACTGCTCGATGATGGTTGAGTTAACTCAGAAAAAAACAAAAAAACCATTTTAACTACCTAAGACTTTATTTGTGAGGCAGCGTGGTGGAATCAGGCTCTCGTCAAAATAATCAAAGTGAAGAAACTTGCATTTTTTCGCAGGTTTGTGAATTTTTGTCAAATTTCTGTTTTTTGCTCAACACCTTTCATGAAAATTAAAGGACTCATTTCTGTGTGGATTTTTCTGAAAAGCGATGATTAAAGGCACCAAAAAAGTAAATTTTCAGTTACCACGGACTCTTAAGCTAAGAAAATAACACTCTTTGGCGGCCATTCTCTCACTAATTTTACCTCTGAAAACAGGTGACCCCCACCTCCTTCTTTCGCAAATATCTCGACTTGTAACGATGATAAATGTATATTTTTTTCATCCAAATAAAGATGAGTGAATAAGCTTTAAGATGATACCAATAACTCTACATGTCCAAAAATTGACGAGAGCCTGATTCCGCCACGCTGCCTCACATTTTTCGCTCAGATCATCCTTTTCATAATAATGCCAATAGATTCCTGATTTACTATTAAAAGATAATACCTGAACTGATTTTATTAGTGAGATTGTAGTTAAAATGTTGAATGATTTATTTTGTGAGAAATACTTTCAGTCTTTCTAATTTATGTGTGCTAAATTGTAATATACAAGGATAATAGTAGGGTTCTTAAAAAAAATTTTGTGTGCAAAATGATTTTTTTTCCTCTCTAGTTTTCTAAATGTTTGTTCTATATTCAACTCTTCTTCCTTCATCTGTCTCTCAATGCCAGATTGTTTGTTAGTCTCTTTTCCTGTCTTTCTTTCTCTGAGGGTATATTTATCCTTTATTTATGTTTTCTTGGAATTAGCTTTTGCACGTAGGCCTTGATTGATGATCGGAGAACTGTAGTGATTTTATGTGTGAGCAAGTAGGCTATATGTCACGTTTTTAGAAGTATTTTGAACTTAAAATGTGTAAAAGACAAATGGATTTGACTTATTGGGGAAGGATGCTAACATAGTAGCCCACATATTTCTTGGATGGTTCTTAAAACTTTTTCTTGACGGTCTTGAGAAATCATGTTGTTGAAGGGCATTATTTTTAGGTCCAGTTTCTTGTCTGTCCCTCTCTCATTTCTGTCTGTCAGTCTTGCTTTGTATTTCCTAAATGACTCAGATTATGTTAAAGTGCTTCTCATTTCTCAAACTATGTCTGGAGAAAGGGCTGACAGATATCAAGAGAATTTTGAGTAAATTAGAGTGCCTGCAGTGAGCTTAGCAAAGTGAGAAACAGTTTGTGTGACTTTTTACTTTCTACGTTAGTAGTGCGGTCATCCTTACTTGCGACGTGTGTGCTCAATGTACTGCCACGAGTAGTTGTATTTGGGGAAGAAAGAAGCATGAAAATTGAATTTTGATTTGTTTAAAACAATATATTTTTGTCCATTTGTTGGGGAGTTGTTTTTTTTTCCACCTTCACATGCAAGTTTTTGCAGGAACTGTGGATAAATTTCATTGATCAAAAGTTTGTCCTAGAAAGGACAAATTATATCGTACTTTTTGTTCCCTTTAGCACATTGTTCCCCTTAGTACAAGTCACCTGTTCCCTGTGGTTTATTCCATTCTTTCCTCAGAGATGAATGAGTTTAAGGAGGAGACCTTGTCCTGTGCTTGTTGCGTTCTGTGCTGTCATGGACAGATTGCCTATCTCAAAGTTTGCCAAAGAAGCCAAAAATAGTTGTTATTTAGACCTGTTTAAAAATTCACATACTTGTTCATCACAAAGTAGTAATAGAATCTGTTGAGTTATGAAAAAGAATTGCCTAGTTTTTCTTCTTGTTAGTGTCTGAGGAAAGGGCAATCTGTTTAGGATTTGAAAACGAAATTAGTCTGTTTTCGTATCTTTTGCAAAATAAATGCCTGCAGAATAGGCAATCTGTTCTTGACAAGGAAAATTTATATAATTGATGCTGTTTGTTGTTGTCAAGAATTGTCATAACTGTAAACTGTGAGCTACAGCTGTACAAATTTTGGTGAAAGGTGAATGTTTCTTTCATTGAGAAATCTTGCCTGTATGTTTTAACAAGTCTCCCCCCATTTTTCAGCCGAGCGCAAGCAGAGGTCCCTGCCACACATCTTTGACAAGCATTCCAAGACGTTTCTGTATAAACGGCTGCTTAGTAAGAGAGTGGTGTTGAATGGTTGATGGGCCGGTCCTGGTGTTGCTGCACTCACACGTGTCTTCCCCCCCCCACCCCCCTCCCCCCTCCACCAGTGGCCTATAACAGCAAATGTCCTCCCCTCACTCGCTAATTCTCCACCTGAAGTAGCGCACCTTGTTCACACTTGTGGAAGGCAAAGAGCAATCCATGTGTACACTGTTATATATTTATATTTATTGTCTATATCTGCACTCATTGAGAAGAACATAAATATCTGCACTGTTAAAAAGAATATCTACACTCATTGAGAAGAACAAAGATATCTGCACTGTTAAAAAGAATATCTGCACTCATTGAGAAGAACAAAGATATCTGCACTGTTAAAAAGAATATCTGCACTCATTGAAAAGAACAAAGATATCTGCACTGTTAAAAAGAATATCTGCACTCATTGAAAAGAACAAAGATATCTGCACTGTTAAAAAGAATGTAAATGTCTACAGTGTTAGAAAAGAACATGAATGTCTGCACCTTTGGAAAAGAACATGATTATTTGCTTTCGTGGAAAAGAACATAATCACATGCACTTTTGGAAAAACAACAAAAACATTTGCACTGTTGGAAAAGAACACTACTATCTTCTCTTTTGGAGAAAACATAATGTGTGCACTCCTGGAGGAGAACTTCAATATTTGCACTGTTAAAAAAAAGAATGAAAATATCTGTACTTTCAGAAAAGAACACAAATATTTGTGCTCTTGGATAAAAAGTAAAATAATTGTCTGCGCTCGTGAGAAAAGAACATGAATTTTGTTCTCTTGGAAAAAAAATAAGTATTGGCTCTCTTGGAAAAAAGAGCCTGAATAATAGATACATGGGTTGTTATAAAGAACTTATGTTAGATGTAATATTTCACAACAGGTCTCCTTTACATATATACCTGTCATTGCACTACATTTATGGGGTGTGATTGCAATTAGAAGATGTATGAATGTTTCTCTGTCAATAGCTGTCTTCTGTCACGGTCAAGTCTGTCGCACATCCAATTATTGACACACAACCACTTGTTTAATTACTGTGCCTATTGCTTACAGTTACACACACAACCGATTGCTTACAGTTACACGCACAACCGATTGCTTACAGTTACACACACTACAGATTGCTTACAGTTACACACACAACCGATTGCTTACAGCTACATACACTACCAATTGCTTACACACAGCCTATTGCTTAGTTACGGCTGTTACTGCTCACACACTCACACACGCACACACACACACACACACACACACACACACACACACACACACACACACACACACACACGCACACACACAACTAGTTGCTTACTGTACTTAAAAACAGTACCAAATGCTTTCATACATGGCCCATTACTGACAGACACACACAGCCAATCATAATTGCTTACACACGCACAGCTAGTTCATTACACTCACTGCCAACTGCTTAACACACTGCAGATTTCTTAATTACAGCACAAATTACTTTTAAAAGCATACAGCAAGTTTTGCTCACATGTTTTGTTTCCAAAAAGATTTCCAAAAAGTAATGTTTCTCATAAAGAAGGATAGAGGTCATGATTTATTGGGCTATACTATTTTCTCCTTGCTTTCTAGTTTCTAACAGCTGACATTTTGATCAGTTTTCCTATATGTGTCTTTGGAGATTTTAAAATGCCATATTTAATAATATTCAAAGAAATAGTTATAAAAAAAACAAAAAACCCCAGATAAAGTGAATTCTTTTTATTCAGAATTCAGTGGTGATAAAATTTTGATCTCAGATTTTATTTTAGAAATACACTTCCCCTATTTGTTCTGTTTTTAGCAAGTCACATAGCAGGTGCCTTCTTATACACTTACTAACATATTTATATACTTGCACAGGATATATTTTGCTTCTCATATATGTATGTGTACCTAGATCAAAGTTCTAAAAGTAATAAATGAAAATTGATTAGGGAAAATTCACTTTGAGACTCAACTATTTCTGAAAAATAGTAATTTTCTCGAAGTAAGCAGACTTTTACTGTGGAATTCATTGTGATATAAGAAAAAAAATGTTTTCAGTATGGATGTCATGATTTAGAAGTAGGTTAATTGACCTTAAGCCAATTTCTAACATTTTATTTTCAACATAGAGTTGTTTTTGTCAGGTATTACTGATACTCAGCCTACACAAGGTTATTTGAATATGTAGTCCGATGTTGTTGCTGTTTCCAAGAGTAGGCCTACTGGTAGATCGTCCAGGCTAACAAGAGTTGTAGAATGATGGTTTTGGACATCTGTCTGATAACAAAAAGATGTTGTGCGAATTACGACTTGTGTAGATACTTTTATGTTGTGTGTAGATTGATGATGAGTTGAAGAGATTGTCCACTCAAGGCTGACCCCAGAACTTGGACCCCCTAGTTGGTGCGGTCTCTTTTCCCCTCTCTCTCCCTCATTTTCTCTCTGTCTTTGTCTCTTTCTCTTTCTCTTTCTTTGTCTCTTTCTCCCTCTCTCTCTCTCTCTCTCTCTCTCTCTCTCTCTTTTCCCCTCTCTCTCCCTCATTTTCTCTCTCTCTTTGTCTCTTTCTCTCTCTCCCTCTCCCTCTCCCTCCCCCTTCTTTCTCATTTCCTCTGAGCTTTAAACTGCTTCCCATATGGTACTCAAACTTACATCCTCTGCCCTTGATGCAGAGCACCTAACCACTACACCTTACTTGTCAGTCTGAAAAGTTACGAGTTATCAACACCAAAATATGGAATGACAACCATACCATCCGGGGTTTGGTTCTTTCTCATTACTCAAAGAATCTGAGTTTGATCTCTGTGTGGAGAAGTTATTTATAAATAAAGCCCCTCTGTCTATCTGCTGTTGGCATGTTGTATGCCTCTAAAATCGGGTTGGCCCTGGTAGGAAGGAAGGTCGAAGTAGCCCGCGTCCTAAATTATCTAAAGTGTGTTGATTGAAGTGTAAAATTTCTAGGCCTACAATTTTTTTTCTTATTTTTCTTTTTTTGGGGGGAGGGGGAGTGATGAGAGAGGAGGGAATATCATTCCCATATTATTAGTTGAGAAGACAGATCCACACAACACACTTGTGAACCACCATAACATTTCTCTAGATAGTTTGTGTTGAGGTCCTGCCCATGTGGTCATCTGTGTACCACCTGCTTACCATACCATCCACACATGAAGGAGCCAAGAATTCCTTGCTTATATCCCCATCTGACCCTCGCTGGCCGTACTGAACCCCTCTTCACCCATCCTTTCCCTTTCTCAATGAAGATTTACCCCCCTTTTTTTCAGAGTGTGACGTAGACTTGTAACATCTTGGACTGTGCAGCACACAATTTGAGAAAAAAGGAGAGGGGGGGGGGGGGGGTGTTTAAGGTTCTGCATGCTCTGGGCCCTAGCACTGCCGTAACCTGACAAAACGCCTTTTTTTAATTCACAGCAGTTGCGAGAAAAAGGTTTTTCGTCAGCGTAACTATTGAAAGATATAGTGCTTCCGAAATACACAAGTAGGGTTACTGATCAGGCTTTCCATTTAGCAAATAAAAATTTTTGGTGCCAAAATGAAAAGAGGCGTTTTATTATCAGCTTAAAACAGAGCACGACGTGTTTTGCCCTTCATTTGGGTGAATGGTGCGGCCTGTGGTGTACATGCTTCACAGCAAAATTTTCCTTGAGAGCAAAGAATGGCGGCCATGACAGTGTGCAGTCTAGGAGTACCAGTCTATGGAGTGTGATTTTTGAATTTTTCATTTTGTGACTTGGACAGAATAATTTTTTTCTTTTCTCTTCACTCAAGGTTTTGTTGTGATTTTGTTGACTAACATGCAGTTGCTGTTCTCACAAGTCTGGCTTGGCCTCACTTTCTTGTGCTCACTCCACCCCTCCCCCCCTCCTCACCTCGCCCCCTTTGGACACTTTTTTTTGTGTCTCGTCATCGATATGTCTGACCGTCATTTTATCTATATATAGATATGTCTGAATGGTCTGAGATTTACAAGAGTAATTACGTGTGGACAGTTTATGAGTGACGTTTCCAACCATGTCATGATGTTTGAAGTTTTACAATCTAGAATGTCTCAGTTTTGAATAGTTTTAATTAAGGCTTGGAATTAGAACCTAAGATTTCTTTAAATTTTCATGTTTTGCTTTGACATTCCTTTACATAATTTGCTGACTTTTTTCAGATTTCACCCTTGAATGAAAGGGTAATTGCAGTTCTTAGTTCTTGTTTACCAATACGTTTTATCAGCCAATCTTTATTGACGTAGCAGAAAAAGAATTCAAAAATTGATGTTACATTTTATTGGATCTCTTTACAGAAATTTAGTATACAATTGTGTACATGTACTTACGAACATAAGCGCATACGTACAATTTTTTATTCATGTTTGTTTGTAGGCAGTATCATAATACCAAATAGAAAATAAAAAGAAAGCCCTTGCTGGTCGCCAACATGCATCACTCTGTTTTGAGATACATTTATTATGTCACGCTAAAAGACATATATATATCCCAGTTACCACACGTATCTTAACACTATTTCACTAACTAACATGTCAATGGCTGTGTCAATATAGAACAAAACTTTCGGCAGATTTATTTGGCCGTGGACACTAGAAGGGTTGATCTGGTGAGAACTGATGAAAAATTTTCCAGAAACCAGTTACATATATTTAAAGTCAAAGCATACTCTGTTGATATTCTTGACTCTATTGTGACCCTGAACTCATCAGCCCATTCTGCCTCAAGAGTCGTGTCTCATGGGCTTGCTTTTCTTCTCTATCCTGAGTTAACCAGTGTCTGTGGTGTGCAGGGCCGTCAAGAGCCTGGTCGGGCCCTGGGGCAGCAATCACCTTCGGGCCCCTCCTCTGCCCCCCCTCGGCCCCACCCACCCTCACCTGCAATTTAATAACCCAACAAATACAATGTACATAGGCATATATAATCACTTTACTGTAGCATATCTATTACATACCAACATACGCTCTCTCTCTCTCTCTCTCTCTCTCTCTCTCTCTCTCTCTCTCTCTCTCTCTTTTTTTTTTCTCTCTCTTTTCCCCCTGCTTGCGGGCCTCCCAAACCCCCGGGCCCTGGGGCATTGGCCCCCCCTGCCCCCCCCTCTCGTCAGGCCTGGTGGTGTGATGGTTAGGTTCTTCACTGTAGAATGTAGAAGACGTGAGTTTGATTCTGCACGGAGAAATTATTTTATTTTTTGTATCCCCGTCTGTCTATTGGGATGTGTTGTATCTCTATCAGGTGGCATTGTCTGTGACAAGCAGGGTTTAAGCAGCCTGCCTCGTTCGTAAGTGACCTTAATTTTGTTGATGTGGGCATAAAACATTTACAGTCAGTCATGCTACGTGTTATCTTATCAGATTGAGCTTTTCGTGTCTAGTGGAGCATTGATCTGTTAGAAGAGTGTCATTGGGGGTGTGAAGCATTTGCACTTTGCCAGTATCTTGAATTGGAGGTAAAAAGATTTGTGTTTCTTTTCCTTGTGTTGTTTCCAGTGGAGAAGGAGAAGCCGTGTGTCCGGCAGTGGTCAGCCCCTCAGTTCAACCTCCCGCGACGCATGCCGTCCAAGCTGAATCTGGGCAGTTTTGGGGCGTCCATGTTCCCAGGTACTGACCCGCTTGACCGCTTCAGGAAATGTTTTTGAACCCATTCCATTCGCCACATGATTCAGAGTAGTCAGAATCAGTGACAAATGTATCAATGTATGTGATGTAATGATTAGGCTTTTCATTGTTGTATGGAAGAGAAAGAACTTGATTCCCAGGTAGGGAAGTTATTTTATTGAGTTTGTGCGTCTGTCTGCTGGGATGTTGGATCACACTCAGCTCAGGTTGGCTCTGTCAGCCTGGGTTGAGGCTGCTGGCTTTCTAAATATTTTGCTCTGTGTTGATGAGAGCGTTAAAGATTTACAATTTTTGAAAATATTTGGAATGATTTTTTTCAGAAGAGACAACTTCTTGTTGGCTGTAACTTTCTAAGTCAAAGCAGCCTGCCTCCTAAATGGCACAAATTGTGTCTTTGAGGGCTCACCAACAATTTACAATTACCAAGTCTTTTTTTTCCAGATGCAAATTTGACATGGGTTTTGAAAACCTTTTTTTGCTTGTGCTCGGTTATCTTGTCTTTATATTGTTTTTGCTGAGCTCTATTTTTCTGGAAGACATTTTTGCTTGTTACAATATAAGATAGATAAGATGTACTTTACTGATCCTCAAAGAGAAATGACAATGCGCTTTCACTTGCTGTGACATAAAATATGCATACATAGTTTACAGTGCGTTTTATGGTTATTTCACATTGCTTTCTTTCTTTCTTGCTTTCTTTCTTTCTTTCTTTCTCTTTCTCATTCTCTCTCTCTCACTCTCTCTCTCTCCCTCTCTCTATTTGTCTCCCTCCCTCTCTCTCTCTATCTCTGTCTTTCTCTCTCTCTCTCTTTTTTCCTCTCTCTTTCTCTCCCTCTCTCTTCCTCTCTCACTCATGCACTCTCTCCTAACCCTGTTAGTGATACATAACATTAAACGTAATGATATATAACCGTGTATATATGTATTAAGTGAAATGAAATATGGTTATGTGAATTCCTCTCCCCATTGTACCTTACAAAGGAGGTCAGCTGCGAGAGTTCACAGACGAGGAGAGTAACTTTGCTGCGTTGTTGCAGCGAGCGATGGAGGGCGTGGACAGAGACACGGTCTACCAGCTTGTCTCCCTTCTCATGACGGTGGGCACACACACACACACACACACACACACACACACACACACACACACACACACACACACACACACACACACACACACACACATGCACACACATGCACATGTACGCACACACATGCACATGTACACACACACACACACACACACACACACACCGGAGTGAAGAATATTCAAATAGCACTCCACTTTTAATTTATTCAATTCAAGGAAGGAAGGTCGGAGATGTTTGTTTCCTCTGGCATACACAAACTGATATGTAGAAACTGATCTACCTACACAAGGATCTATGTCTCACAGTACACATTATCACACCAATAAATACAATAAACACGACATTGCTGGTGTACACAGATAAAAAAGCAGGTAAAAATCTTTCAACCCAATTTGTGAGTGTTGAGTTTGCAATGGCGTGCATATTTAAATTCCTTCCTGACAAAATTATTTACCAGTGTGTACATAATACACAATATTACTTCAATAAAAACAATCCACACACCATTGCTGGTGCTCATGAAAAAGAAATAGGTTTAGTTTAGTAAGAGTTTTACGGCGCTCACAACTGCATAAGGTCATTTGAGTGCGCAAAACACAAGTTGGTTGCATTCACAACAGTTCACAACATGGATTGGTTTAGGTCGATATTTCGATTAAAATGATTAAAATTTGTAGTAAAATTTCAGTTTTAAAATAACATTTTAAATAATATTCAAATAACGCTATCTACAATTTATTGTAAAAGCCTTTAAAAATCGAGAATTCTGTTTGGGATCAACGATGGAGAACAGATCTTGCTATTTAAAACAACAGATTTAATAATAATCTATTTTTACTGCTTTCTGTGGGAAAGTTGACTATACAATGTCACACCTACATTGGTCGAAACGTTCATACATATTGTTGGTGTACAACTCCAACTGTGTATCTGCCAAAATAGGTCAAACACTTTTTATAGATGCTCCAGAATTGCTCAAAATTTCGTGAAGTTTTCTTTCTACTCTCTTATAATATTACCAATTGTAATTGCGTTTTTGAATGATGTGAATTTCAGATAAAAGAAGTGTCAAACTTAAATTTTTGGGGATATTTATTTGGGGGGGGGGGGTATACTGCAGAGTCGTGGAGTCGGACTCTGATAATACGTGGAATAATTAAATAGTGTTGTGTAATGCACCACATCGCATTGATGAGAATTATGAATCTGCCATTGCTACAGTATTCCTTATCAAGAAGCAGCATTTCTAGTCCAGGGTCCTGGTTCTGAATGACTTGATTGTTCCCTACCAGCCAATCTGCCTGTTCATGATCTGATCTTACACTGATTTTTTTTGTTTTTCGCTCAAAGGATGAATTAGATCTGCAATTCTTTTTTTAATCACACTGTACAAATACAGTATAACACAGATAGCTTGAATTGGTCGGGACCAGCCGTGATAGTTCGAGGGATCTGTAATTGAGGGATATCTTACAAAGATAAAGAAGACGAAAAAACGCGACCGCAGGCATAGTTCGACGAATGCATGATTTCGAGTCTTCTATGAACGACCTATCCGTGTTATACTGTACTGTATTTTGTTCTCATTGTGGAAGAATAGTTTTGTAATGTTTCCTTCTATTTATAGACATGCAGTAGGTGTAAAACTATTGCTAGATATATCTTCTTCTTTTTATATATATATATATTTTTAAATAGTAGAGGCTTTTACGGCGCTCGCAACTGCATAAGGTCATATGAGGGCCAGATATATCTTCAGTTGTGTGTGTTTTTATATGTGGTTGAAGGGCGCCACTTGTAGTTCTATTTCTTTTCTGTCCATCTGTTTTTTCTATACATATATATATCTGTCCGTTCTTGTTTTTTTCCCTGCACTAAATGACCATTACTTTGTTGGTGCGCGTCTCTTTACTGAAATGTTGAAATGTTGTCCGTTCTTCCCCTCAGTTCATGGTGCAGTGCAACGACCACGACGATGCTGAGGAGAGGACAGATACCAAAGCTCAGGTGATTATTCCGGCATGTGGAGCTATTGAGTCATAGATGTCACACCGAACTGTTCATTGAAACTGCGGGCTCCAGTTCCTGATAAGCACCACAGGACGCAGTATTTGAAGTGTTTTAGAAAATTGTAGAAAAACCATATAAGGATAAGAGCAATCGATCGAGTTTCCAGTTATACTAAAAATAACATGACCTGATATACTAGCACTTGAAGACACAAATTACAGTTTCTTGGTAGGATATTGCACGAACTTGCTCAGCCCTGAGCCCGAGATAGTCGGGTTGTGCACGTCTGCGGTGGGCCCTGAACCCGACAAGGGCCCTGAACCTGGAAATATCGGGATGGAAATTTCTACTGCTTAATAATGTAAACACACAGCAAATAAGAACAGACTATACTTTATAAGAGAACCTTGGCCATTTCTTTATAAGAAACAGACTATTACAGAGGCAAAGGTTGCTTTCTTGACCTACAATTGAAAATAACTTAGCGCATTGTAACGAAGGGGGAAATGAGAACAAGTCTTGGTCTTTCATCTGAGCCACTTTTTAGTGCGTGTTGCTGACCTTTTTCAAATGACAATATCTCCCAGACTTTCAAATATTTTCAAATTCTTTAAATGATGATAGTCTATGTGATGACTAAACAAATTGTGTGGGAAATATTGGGGCGATTAAAGTTGATTTAGCTTTTTTTTGTTTTACAAAAACCTCTTAAACCACTAGGCACAGCCAATAGACTGGGTCCTTGGCCCCCTGGGCTGAGCGAGTTAATGGCATCATAGAATATTGTTCCATGGTACAAGCAGTGTGAATGTGTTGGAGAGTCCTGCTCAATGTGTTGGAGAGTCCTGCTCAATGTGTCGAGTTTTTGATGTCCTCAGAACATTGTCCTACGTCACCTCAACGTCCTCCTGGGCTACAACCAGACGGAGAAGTCATTCAGCGTTCCTCCATTCAAGCTCAGGTTTCTCTGCTCGTTCCTTCACCACTACCCAACATTTCCTCATTTTTCTATGAAATGAACCTCATTTTCGGATTATTCTACAGTTGATTTGCCTTTTATATTCTATTTCACTTTTTTGTGATTTAGACAAAAACAGAGTGTGCGAATCTAGGTTGAACCAATTTTTTAAGATTCTACTTTCATGAAAATTCCCATATCTTAATATTAATATCTCTGTAAAATAGATTTACCATGAAGATAATAAGATTTACTGATACTATTTCGTATGTTTGTAGGATCTTATAGAAGTAATAGAAGGGATTGTGTCAGCGTCATTCCACACTCGCCAAACTCAATTTCTAGAGGTTTCCAGATAAAACCGTTATTCAAATGAAAATATAAAGGAAAACCTTACAATGTAGTTTCATTTTGTTTTGCTGTTTCCTTCCTACTTTTTATTTGAAAAATGTGAGGTGTGCTGGCAACATGGGTTACTTCTCGGATTGTAGGCGTAACCTTATGGAAATCGATACATCAACTTTATAGGTGGAGTTTGTACAGTTTGTAAGTGTAGAATAATAAAAGACATGGTAGACTTGAAGAACATGGCATCAATTGAAAATTTATCAATCTGACATTAGTGTCAATTTTCAGCTGGTATCTCCAGTCTTGAATTGCGAGAAGAAACTCATTTTGTCAGCACGCCTCTCAATAACAAATGCTCAAATCATTTTTCTAATTTGGACAAACTTTTTTCTTTAATTTTCTCAAAACTTTAAGAAATGACTGAGGCTCTTGTGAAATGATGCTGACAATGTTTTGTTCACTTCTCAGGTCTTCTGCGGTTTTCAATGCGTTCCTGAGCGGCGTCATGTATGTAAGTATACAGCAGTCGGGTGAATTCTTTTTCTAAATAAGCTTTTTTAACTGGGGGGCTTCCGTGAGAGAACTTACGTCTGTGGTAATGCTATCGGGTGCTTTACTGTTGCAAGCAGAAGATATGAGTTTGATTCCTGTGTTTGGAGATTTCAATTAAGTATCTCTGTCTGCTAGAAAGTTATGTCTCAGCTCAGGTTGGCCCTGCCAGTCCATGTCGAAGCAGCTTGCCACTTAAATGTTTTAAATTGCGTTGATGGAGATGTACAAATCTACAACTACTACTGTTTTTGAGAAAATATACCATAACCTTGTAAGCCAAAGGTAACTATAATTTGTTTTTATAAGAATCTATAGGGACAAGTATGAAGATTTACCATCAGTAAATCAAATGTTTGATCAATGGTAAATAAAGCTCCTCCTCTCTCAGTTGTCATGTCTTGTTTCTTCTGGCCTGTTTATTTTTGTCTCTTTTTCTTTTTCTTTTTCTTCTCTCTCTCTCTCTCCCCTCTTTCTTTTTCTCTCTCTCTACCTCTCTCTTTGTCTATCATCTCTCTCCTTCTCTTCGCTTTCCCTTTCTTCCATCTCTTTTATTATTTCCCCCTCCCCCTCCTCTCTCTCTCTCGCTCTACCTCCCTCTCTCTCTCTCTTTTTCTCTTTCTCTCTCTCTATTCCCCCCCCTCTCTCTCTCTCTCTCTCTC